TGTCAAACCRACCAAACTGGCCCGACCCAACCCGATTTGTTCGGTTTTTCTTTACCACCAGTCGGTTTTGGATTGTGAAGAGGGATAAACGGATAATTCGATTTGGTTTCGGTTTTCATGAAAACGGAAACCGAACCAAGTTAGTTGGTTTATTATTTCCTAGTCTTTTCCTAACTGGGTAATCCTTATCCTAGTTTATTCTTTCTAATTAGTTACTTATTTTTAACATTAAAGAATAATAAAACATTAGTTAAATGGGAATTACTTTTTTCTTTAGAATTATTTTCCTTTTTTGAGTAGAAAATTTTACACCAAATATAGGGTTGTTCAAAAACAATGCCAAACTGACCCTTCATGTTTGGATCGGTTTTTCTTAATAACAGGTCAGTTTCGATTTGCTCTTTAACCTGACCAGGTCGAGTCAGTTGAAAAAAAATCTATTAAACCGACCCAACCCAACCCGTGAACAGCCCTATGAAATAGGGTTGCGCTGAGGGAACGTCTTGTAGTGAATCTGACTCCTAAAATTTTGGAGATGGAACCTAGGACAACCCCTAAAAACAAGGCAGGTTGTTACACTTGATCATGTGTTCTATCTTTCACTAACTAAATTTAAATTCTTTTTAAACACAATTAAGATAAACTGGGAAAACTTAGGCCAATTTTAGCACACGTGAATCATATTAAACCAAGTTTAATTAATTTAGTTCCTAGATTAAGCCCATGCAATTGTGAAAGAAATGCTTACACAAGTATATCCTACTATGTATAGAAAGGTTATTGGCCACTCTAGTATTTGACAACTACTAGGCCTGACCTAGCACTCTCAGTTAATCGAGTTTGTTAACATATGTAAGCCCCAAAAATGGCACATTGGTAATAAGTCAAGATAATTCTTCAATATCTCAAGGGACCTTGGATTTTGATCCTCCTAAGACCGTGCTCGCATCGTTTGCGTAATCGCTTGAGAATATCTTCCTGTAAAAAAAGCAAACAAGTACGAAGATATTCTTGATGCACAGCTAAAAGACTGAAAACGGTGTGAGCACAATCTTGTAAGCACCGAATCACATCTCTACTAGATATTGTATTTTCTTGGGCACTAATTGTGTTTCATATGGGCTGTTAAGAAAAATTATATCCACCATGTCTTGATCTAGTATAGAGAAGTTGAGTAATGGGTTATGGCATCTACCACTATATATAGAACTCACTTGAGTTATGTTTCTACTTCAAGACATTGGCATTTCTCTCCCAAACAAGTAGAGCTCTTTGCATATGTCCATTAATCTAGTTTTCCAATATTGAGCTGGACTATCACTTTGTTAGAAAGAAATATGTTCTTGGCACTCTTATAACATGCTACATTTCATCTTGCTCATAGTTAGCATATATTTTTACTAAGCCTCTCCACCATGATGATTTTTCTCACATTCAGTTCAGGCTAGGAGTTCAATCATCACCTTCTAGCCTGTAAAGGAGTGTTAGTGGTGAAACTAAGTTAGTCCCTCTATCTCAACGCCCATAATTGAAGAATCTCAAGAGAGGCATGCCTATATCGAGGTCTCAACTTGGCTCAATTATCTAGAAAGTCCATGATTTGTTTCCTTTGTTTTTATTTACGTCTCTTTCCATTTCCTCTCTTGTATTAAGACTATGTTGTCCATGCTTCTATATATATTAGTAAAGATTTGTTGAGACATGGATCAATTGTCTCACATTACTCAAATTCTCTTCTCTCAATCTTCTTTAGTATATAATCTTTGTAACACTGTTTGTGCTCTAATTAAATTATGATTGTTTGATGTTTATTTATTTTCTTCCAATAAAGTGATTTTATGTTTAAAGTTTTATTATATTTAATTTCCCAGCTAGTGGTTAATACTCTTTAAACTATGTAGTGATTCCAATCATAAGAAATTTTTATTTGTTCAAACAAATCTACTTTATGATTATTAATGTTTTTAAAATGATTTAGAAACATATGTGAAATTTTAAAAAAATAAATGATTATTTGAGCATTTAAAACTTAAAGTGGTTTTAAGTTTTAAGAATTTTGATTTCCTTTTAATTTCCTTTTAAAGTGGTTTTATGATTTCCTTTTAAGTTTTAAGAATTTTAATTTCCTTTTAAGTTTTAAGAATTAAAGTGGTTCTATAATCTTTTAATTTCCTTTTACATAAATGTCTTTAAAATTTTAAACTTGTTCTTAAGAGGACTTTGAAGAAATAAATCTCTGTGTTAAAATAATTCCCTATATAATTTGAGATTCTGCCATGGCTTTGTTTCATATTTTGTAAAAATGCTTCAAGAAAATCTAATAAGTTATATTTCTACATACATACATACATGGACACTATAGTTGCCATAAATCAGTTATAAAAACAAAAAGCATAAGAAACTATATTTTAATATTTTATGTGAAGTGTGAACTACCAAGATAAACGTAAGGAACATGGGCAAATAGTTGAAGAATTAAAACATGCATGGACACTATAGGAAACCAATAATACTTGTAAAGTTATCATTTTAACTTTTTATAAATGTGGCTTAAAGTTAAAACCATTTTGTTTCATCAATTTATCATGATATCCTGTAATTTAAAAAACTGCCATCTTTCATGTGGGCGATCTGTTCCTTCACCAACATATAATTTTTATTTGGGGAACTTAAATGGAGCTATACGACCCTGGATCTCCTACCCACAAAATGCTACCTTTGTGCATTGGGAACATCTCCCAGTGCATAATGACATGTAAGAGAATGAGAAGTTTCCCATGTTTGGCTGCAATGTTATGTGAGTAYGTGTGGCAATGTGGGAGGAATTGTCATGGATAGGAAATCCAGACTCAATTGGTTGACGTTAATGAGATTGATGACAGTTAATTACAGGTACTTTGACTTTAATTATGTATATACCAATGAAATATTGGATGAACAAAAAGGAGAAAATCAACCTATGTGTATGAATACTTTTCAATGTCCCCTACTTCATCTCCATGTTTACATTCCTTTACGAATTCAGGGGCATTTTGAATTTTGATTCATCTTCATGTTTACATTCCTTTACGAATTCAGGGGCATTTTGAATTTTGAGACCATGTTCCAAAGAGTGACGAAAAACATCTCATGCAGACCAGACCCTGGACAAGTATTTCTAACGTTGGAGATAGAATCTTCAGAAATGGCGACTTTTCCTCAACAGAACTGGAACTCCTAATCATGCAATCTAGGGGTTTGTCTTAATTAAGGTTCAGATCAAAACATCAATACAATATCCAAAACTCATGGATACACTAATAAAATAATGGTTCCGGGGTTTTAAAATTTTGGGGGGGTTTTAAGCAATTAAGCATCCCCCTGATGCTTATAAAAATAAAAAATAAAAAAATAGAAAAACAAAGGATATTGGACATATTGATACACACCAATATCGACTTTTTAATATCGGGCTTATCGATTTKTTGATCTTTGGGTTCGATCATTTGACAGAGTTCTGAACGTTTCATCATGGATTACAACAGGAACCTATGCAACTGAAGCCACATCATAATTTAGGGAAAATCTATGATGCCAGAAAGACATAGTACCGGAAAAGTTTTGACCAATCAAATCCATCCATGAGTTTTGATAAATACAACCTAATTGGTTACCACATTGACGCAACATTAAATAATTGTACAAAAAGTTGCAAATATGATTGTAATTTGAAATTGTATCTCTTCGCTAATCAATAACGAAATGGAGTTGTTTAGCAAGGCACATAAATAAAGCAAGTTATCAAAGAGTACAAATTTTAGCCAAGCTTTTCTATGCGACTCAAGGTAGTCATTAATGCCTTACAACACATGGCATGAACACTGCAAATACCCAGTTGCATTCCCATAAATCAGTTAATTTTTTCTGGCCATAAGGCCCATTAAATAAATCAGTTAATTTGACGATAAACAAATGGTAATTGCATTCTAATGAAGACTTTTGCAAACTGTGATAAGAATCAGCAGACAGAAGGCATGATGGACATGATAATTCCAGATATAATTTATAGCATCACTGTGCAAAATCTTGGACAGTTGCATAACCTGAACAACACCTAGAATGTCTCTCTCAGCACTTTCACTTTCGTATGCTAACCAGGTGTCTCTGCGAGAAGTGAATCATTTTGATGACTCCTTTGAATTGGTGAGAGCAAGCATTCGTTCGGAGCTATACGAAATTTGACCTTCCATCACTTGAGTTTCTTCTGGTTACGGCTTTTAATATCATACAACTCACCATCATGCAGTAGAAGAGACTGACCAACGGAATTCACTCAATTTCACCTTCAATTTACTAAAAGTCACTGGTGAAGATAACCTTCCGTTGACCTTGATATTGTTCAAGCATTACTGACTCAAAATAAGCTACTTTTTTTCCAGCCCAACATCAGAAACTTAAGCAAATCACCCAATTAATTTTACTGTTTTGTTTGTCACTAGGATAAACACTACTACTCCCACATCCTCACTGAGTAATATCTCCATAGCTCAAGTGATAACAAAGCATTTCATCTGGAACTTGGTTTATTTGCAGTGTGCTTCTCAAAAGTTGAAGTCCCTGTGCTTCAGAAAGGTAAATGGTGCAACAGTTTCAGGTCTTCCAGTTACGAGTTACGACCATAATATCTCATTCTGTAGAATATTACCCACCCCCCCCCCTACAGAATAATGTAGTGACAATGTACTGTAATTCACATATTTGATGCTTGACCTAACCAGCTTCCACTGATCCACTTTCAGTTACAAACATTAGAAGGGAACAAGCCAAGTAGAAGAATGTTGACAGAAAAAGAAAAGCACTAACCAACCATAGATATTAACAAACCACCTGCTACTTTTCAAACCTGTAGATCTTCCGGTCCTAGGTTAGCCACATCAAATAGTGGGTTCACAGCTCACGCTACAAAAATTGGCAACTTGAAACAGTAATTACCATTTAGCATTAGCAACAGAATAAGAAAGTTCACTAGAACATCAAAATGCGCTTTGTGGCTAAAATCACATAATTAAAAGCTGGAAAATATAATACATTGTAAGCACAACAGTGTGCCCTTCAGTTTGTTTGAGGCATGTCAAATGAACAGAATACCATAGCAAGAAATGAAGGAATGGTACAATCAAGAGTCAGGATCAAAGTATTTAACTCATCAACATTTACAAATTCCATACTCTCACTAGAACTGGAAGAGTGAAAAAGGAAAATTCCTGAACTTGACCACACAAGCATCAAGCAAAGAAATGATCTTGCACTAGTACAAGAAGGAAAATTGGAGAAAAAAGGGGAAAATGCTTACTATTTATACAAGGATATATGAACACAACCACCAGCAGGATCTAGCATGAAATAGGGCATCTGCTGGTTGATCAATAGCAGTAACCAGTTTGCCCACTCTCCGACCAGTTTTGCTTCACTTCTAGTCTACAAGGCTAGTGCACTAGGAACTTCCATGAGATCTGATAGAAGAAATTGATTGTGCTGAGACCGAAGCAGTTGGGCTATTGGGATCCCGATCCCCATTGACAGCTCTTGATTTTCCAGTCAACCTCTCTATTGCTTCTTGACAAATGTCAATAAACCATTCATCCTCTGGAAGTACACTGATCAGAAAAACTAATATTTTCAGCTTCCAGAAAACCCAAATATTTCATGGTATTACAGGCAAACATAATAATAACTGTAAGTTCAAATAACAKAATTTACCAGGTAACTGCCTGAAATATCAGGGACTTCTAGGGCAATATCAGTAACATAATTTACCAACACTAAATGGATGACTTGCTAAGAAACTGGAAAGAGATTGCTTCCACTGCTAGATGCAAGAGGACTCTTTGTCCGTTCTGGTCCCCTCTCCCCTCGGGCTTTATAAAGCTGAATTTTGATGGCAGCAGTGTAAGGAATCCAGGGCCCTCTGGGATTGGAGGAGTC